CGCGCACCTGGGGCACCGCGGCGACGGTGGCCGCGGCGGTGCAGGGCGGCGCGGACATTGTTCGGGTCCACGACGTCGAGCAGATGGCGGCCGTGGCGGCCATGTCGGATGCTATCTGGAGGGTCTAGGCCCGACAGGAGGGAAGGGAGGGAGTAGGGGGGCGTATTGCCGCCGTGGGTTGGAAGAGGAGGAACCGCGCGCGCGCGCCGCACACCCCAAGTCCCGCGTTGGGAGTGGGGGATCGCTTACATGATTATCTACTTTTTTTTTTCCCGTGGCGTTTACGATGTGCAGCGGCAGACAAAAGAGCTTATCCAGGTTGTTGTTGGCGAAACATCGCTCGCCGGCTGGCATCGAGTCACCTCGTTAGTCAGTCGGAGCAACAAACAGAGGGTGGTGGCAGAGGAGGCGGCGTCTATGGGGGGACAACGGCAAGGCATCTCTCAAGTCACTTCAGGTAGGGATGGAGGCGAGGCGAGGCGAGGCGGGAGGGTGGGAGGGGGAGATGGATGGAGGGAGGGAGAGGAATCCTGCGTGGCTATTTCTCTTGTTCGTTGCCTGTGTTTCAGAATGCAGCCTCAATCTCGGTACCACTCATCACGAGATTCGGCTCTCGCAGACAGTAGGAGGGTGGTGGCGGTCATGGTGGTGGTGGCGGTGGTGGTGGTGGTGGTGGGATAGACAAGGTCAACGCCGGAGCCGGGAACTGGTTCGGTTCGGTGATGCCAAGGTATCAATTAATGAGTACGTGTGTGTGTGACCTCTGGCTCCCTCCCGCCTCGTCCATCGTCAATGTATGTAAACCGCACATGGAGGAGCTGTAGGAAAGATACCACCGAGATGAGGGCTTTGGCTTCATGGTGTGTTGCACAGATATCTGTCTAATTGAAGAGAGCCCAACGACAATGATTCATTTCTATTGTGCCTGCCGACATTAAAGTCAAAAATAAAAATAAAAGTTCAGCCCCCCTCCTCTGGAAATATTGTTCTTTTTCTGGAATGGAGAGAGGCGAGGCGGCGACTTTCTTCCCTGCACATCTCTCCTTCCTGCCTAGTCAGTCCGTTTTAGTCCAACAAGAAAGACGTCACCTTGGCCTCGTTCCTACTCTACTAGCATCTATCAACACGCCCCCCTACTCACTACCTACCTCTCTGCTATGAAGTCACACGCCTTATCTTGGCGGGGGCTTCCTTGTTCTCTCTCTCCTCCACGAAAGCAAAACAACTGTTCGAATTTTCTCCTCCTGCCTCTTCCCGAGCTCATCTGCCGAACGTGCAGACCCGTTGTTTTAGAACAGTAAGCTGGGCGCGTCGGGCCTGCCTGCACCTCGTTCTATTAAGATACGGCAGAGAGATGTGAAGAAAAGTGTAGGTAGGTATGTGTGTATGTTGTTTTGCGAGAGCATCGCACGCACCCCCGCCGCCTCCTCCGTTGCCGTCGTCCCGGGCGGTGGGTCCCGGGTCGGTTGTCGAAGGAAAATGAGCAGAAAGAGGTTGATGACCCGCAGGTTTGGGCGAATCAGACATCGTTTGTCGATCACCGGTGAAGGCCTGCATGAGGAGCTGCATGAAGTGGCGTCGACCAGGGGGGGTGGTTTGGTGGTTTGGCCAAAGAGGAAGCGGGTGAGCAAGGGTTCGGGTGGGCTTGGTTTGGTCATTGTCTGTGTGGCTTGTCATTTCGTCGTGGTATGGTGAGAAACGCTTGCTTGCTTGCTTTCTGCCATCTTTGATCTTCACTCATTATAATTTGTGTGCATAACGTAGATAGTAGGTCTCGGGATATCTTACACGAGCTGCGTGTTCTGGAACCTTGGACGCCCCTCTGTCTCCTCTTCCCGTTGCTCTTTTGCGCCAGCAGCAGAAGTCCGCGGGCAGTCTGTCTGCCTGCCTGTCTTTTGCGTTGTGAGGACGACGAGGGAAAAAAAAGAGCTCAGTCTGTGGCTTGTGGCTCAATTCATTGCAGTGTGCAAGACAAGTTAGTTTTTGCTGACTTCTGAATCAGGAAGGAACGTCCGTTGCGCGCCAAGTCGGCCAAGCTCCCTTTTTTGGCTGACACCATCTTGTCTTCTTCCTCCTCATCCTCCTCGCTACGCGATACGAACGAAGCACAAGGATGACCAACGAACGGTTGCAACGGCCGGCCTGCCAGGGCGGGTTGGGGGCTTGTACTTCGGCTATGTGCCCAATCGAAATCGAAATCTCATCGTCCAGCCAGGAGAGCTCCTCTCCCTGTGATACTAGGGCTGGGCCTGTGAACGGCCGTGTAACACGGCACACGTGGAGAGGCGCAAAGTTTCTTCTCCCTGGACCCTTCTTCCTTCTGGATCTGCAGCCCGTATTACGGTATCGGTCACGGGTGTCTCTTCCGTTCTAAACTCTGACACAGGACGGTGGATATGTAGGCAGGTTGGCAGCAGGAATGTATCCCCGTTCGGACTACGCCCGTCGGCCGCGCATGAGCGAGAGTGAGAAGTTGTCTAACTGCTACTGGTTGGTATTACTGATTGATTGATTAACTGGGAAAATCACTACACGAATATTTAGAGCCCCGATTGATTGTCCCACTCACACGACAGCCTCCTTTCGCTCTTCAGCCCAATGAAACGGGTGCGAGGCAGTTTTGCATCTGCAACACGCCGCAATAGGAAGTCAATCATCATGCCATCTTTTCTTTCTTTTTTGTTTCTTCCTCTGTCTCGCGACACCCCTGTCTGTCTTCATACGCCCCCCCTTCCCCCCCCTCATGCTCACTCACTCTGTGTGACAAGCTGAAATTCGCGGTGCGGGCGCAACAGTCGCAGCACCGCTCTTTTCATGCAGCTAGCCGGGGCAACCTCCAGGCCTTTTTTTTTCTTTTTTTTTTTTCCTTTTTTTCGAAACACTCAAGTTGATTAACAGCTCGGCGATGGACTTCGGACTAGAACCGAACCTTGAATCCATTGCGGAGCCGACGATGATGGCCATCTAGATTGAAGGGGGGGGAAGCCTTGCCAATAGCAGCCTGACTTACCCGTCGTCACCTGCTGCCTGCGCATTAACTATCCCCAAAGTCCCAAGCGAAACGAAACAAGTGGTTGATTTGTTATTAATGCCGACGGTAGATCAATGCTGTGCGACCCTACGAACCAAGATTTTCGACGCAGTCCTGCTCTGTGCTTGGCCTACCCGCATCATGCTATGGACTCATAGGCTACAGAGACTGGCAAGGCTGGTGATGCGTGCTGCATGCTGCCCTGAAATTCCCGCGAACCCCGGTCCTCGGTAAAGAGAAAAAGTCCAAGCAGAGAGGGTGTAGGTGAGGCTGCTTCTACTCGACAACCCAAGACCACTGCTTTGCTGGCATCATGTATGAACAATTCGCCTCCTGGGCATATGACCTCATTGCAGCTGGTTGGTGCAATTGCAATCGCCCTCTCGCCGACATCGCTGCGACGAATGTTACGATGGCGATGCATCAGATGCCCAATTGCATTGGCTCTATTATGCGAGAGCAAAATGGCATAGATATGCACTTGTTGGTCACGCACCCACGCAAGTCGCCGGGATGAAAGACTGACTTGCTCGCTTGCATTCACTCCAAAGCTGCCTGATGACCATGTCGACAAGTCAAAAGTCCCCCCCACGCAAGTTTCAGCCGTCTGAATATTCGTAAACGAGAATAGACTGAAATCATCCTACTAAGCAAAAAAAGAGTTCTTCTCCGCACGAGACATTTTCTCCGTGGCGTTCCCCTGGCGTCACCCAATGTCAAATCTGGTGTAATGCAGATGTTATCCACCACCACCAACTTGTCAGAATCGTCGCACACGCCCCCCTGGGAAACTTAATCTCTACTAGGAAGAAAGTAAAAAAGAGATCAGGAGGAGAACCGTTGGTCTTGTGTTATGCGACAGGTCACGTCGGGAGTCTCACCCGGGCTCCCTTTGCCGTCGCTCAGTGATGTTTGTCGATTCATGACGAGGCTCTATTTCCAAATACCCGGGCCTTGGTACACTTTGCCAGCGGGACAAAGCAAGAGAGAAAGGGAATAAAAAGCAGAAAAAAGAAAGGAAAAAAAAAAGTGTGTGTTTAATAATGCAAGATGCAGCAGGCTGCGAATGTCAGGGGAGACGGGTAACCTTGAGAGGGGGCGTCAATATCAAACTTTTGTTTAAATTCATTTGTACCTTTGCTCCCCAGCATGAATACAAGAAAAAGACGTCAGATTGATAGAAACGATGCCAACTTTTTTTTATTACGTTAGCGATCCTCTTTCTTTGTTCAATTTGATGAAGAAGGCGGGATGGAAACAAGCCCACGGCGCGCAGATCGGAGGGGAGCGGGCGGGGTGGGAGAGGCAAAAGGCAGCTTCAGACGGGGCGACCGTGCCGGCATGGGAATCGACTGATTTTCATCTTTTCTGCGTGTTTTTTTTTTTTGAGAGAGAGAGAGGGGAGAGCTCGAGCCCTCCCTCTTCCTGGGTCTCGGGTCCTTGCCGTTGCCCATCAACCTCGTACACACACCGACAAAGGGAAGACAAAGACCCCCCGAGGTAGCTTGCATCTGGAGAAGGTAGGGAGGGGGAGGGATAAAAAGGTGGAGGAGGAAAAGGCGACTCGAAGACAAACAAGGTGATAAAAATAGTCAAAATTAAAGTAAGAAAAAAGTGAAGAAGAAATGCGCCGCCGCCGCCATTTAAACGCACATGCATGCACGCATGGGGGTCAAGCCCGAATCACACACCCCCCCAGACCAGGCCAAGTGCACGGATAACATACGGAGTAAATGTTGGAAAACCGGTCTGCGCTTCCTGCACCGCAACCTCGCGGCCGCTCTTTTTTTCCTACCTGCCTGTCTTTCTCCTTTCCTTTCAACACACCGAGCCACACGGCAGCACATGTGTGGGTTCGCTTTCCCTTTAATCTCGAGACGAAAACTCAAGTTTTATAAGTTTTGCAGTTTAAAAAAAAAGAAAAAAAAAGGAAAAAAAAAAAAAAAGGTGGCGTG